CCCCGCCCCCCCCCCCAAAAAGTCTGGGTGTCTGGTAGCCAGGGTGGGAAGAGGGCTTTTTCCTTATACCCATTTGTATCTTTTGGGGTTGGACCATATAAATGATCTCACTCCTTTACATAGGAAGCATAGGCCAATAATAATTTTATGTCTAACGCTTTGAAGGATTGTTCCCATGCCTTAAGGTAGAGATGTTACTGCCAGATTAACATGATTGAGGGAAAACTGAGTTTAAGTACTCATCAGTAAAAGACATCTGTGGGCTGTGAGGGAGGAGGTTCAACCCAGTTGTTTAAAATATCACTTGGGTTTTACCATCATCTTCTATTTTAAAAATTCTTTTATTTTCTTCCTGTTCAATTAACAAGTTTTTATTTAGTGCCTACTCTCTGCCCAGTACTGTCTTAGGATTTCTAGGAGATATAAAAGAAGCCTCCATGAAACACATTTTAAAGTTGCTGCCAAGTGCGGAGATTTCTGTGGAATGAGGTGGCTAGGAAGCTGTCTTGGGAGCAGTTTTCAACTGAGACTGGACAGAAGTGGGGGCTTTAGACAGACAGAAGAGGGGCTGCAGATGCTGCTGCTGGAGAAAAAGCATTTGATGGGGAGGAGGGGAAGAAGCCACCCTGGTGAGAAGAGAGGCCAGAGTGGCCCATTTAGAAGTCCCTAAATGTCAGGTAGCATAGCTTCACCTTGGGAGTTCACTGGCAGGGTGTGTGGTTTATCCAAGCTTGGTAGTAACCCACAGGGGGTTACTGAGGGGGAACTGAGCAACCAGATGCAAGGTGCCCACCCTTGTTGCAGTAAGCTGGATAAAAATTGATTTGGATTGTTTGGATCAAGAGACCAGAAAAGTCAGTCTTTCTTAGGCCTTTACCTCTCCTCAAATTGAGCCCCTAATGGAGTCCAGAGGAAGTATGAATTATAAACAGAATTGGGTTTTTTTTTTCTTTTTTTTTTCCATTAGAAACACAGGTAATCTTGCTTGTCTTTGGCTATACTACCCAAGTTGTATCTTGCTGGACTTTGTTCTCCAATAGCACGCATACCTCTATGACAGTGCTCCCCACTTAGGTCTGGTTGGTTGTGCTGTGTAGGTGTTTACCACCCACTAGACCACAAGTCCTCTGTGTGCAGGGAATGTGTCTCCTGCATAGTTAAGTACTCAGTAAGTGTTTGCCAGTTGTTAAACAAAGTGAGATTTAAATGAAAGGTAACATTAAAAAGCTTTCCAGAAACGATGTAAAGTGAAATCATTAAAATGAAAACGTACGTAAAATAAGTTTCTCTGCTGTAACCACTCAAACCACATGCAAGTCAAGGTCAGTGTGTTGGAATGGTGTCAGCATTACGGGTTTTAGTCCTCAGCTCAGATGTTACAGTCATAGTAATAATGCAGTGCAGTAATATAGCATAATAAGCATTACTAGTAGGGTCTAGAATAATGAAACACCTCACTTATTTTTTACTTTAGTTTATTGATAGTGATTGTAATTATTACAGTAGGAGAGGAAACAGGTATAGAGAAGTTAAGAAATTTCCACATGGTTACCCAGCTAGCAAGTGTTGGAGCTGGGATTAGACCAAAGCAGGCTCCAATCTTTTTTTTTTTTTTTTTTTTTGCAGTACTGGGTTTGAACTCAGGATTTTGAGCTTGTAAAGCAGGTACTGCACTCTGAGGGGCACTGGTGGCTCACGTCTGTAATCCTAGCTACTCAGGAGGCAGAGATCAGGAGGATCGCAGTTCGAAGCCAGCCCGGGCAAATAATTCCGCGAGACCCTATCTCGAAAAATCCTTTACAAAAAAGGGCTGGTGGAGTGACTCAAGGTGAAGACACTGAGTTCAAAAAAAAAAAAAGAAGAAAGGAATCAACTCCGCAATCCTAGCATTTTACAGACGACCACCTAATAATGACAACCCAGGGACAGAAATAACCGACCCCCTCCTTATATCATTAAAAGTCTTGCTTTATTTGGAAACTCTTAAAATAAGTGATCACACGATTAAAAAAAGCAGCGGCGGCGGCCCCCTCCCCGGGCGGCCCGGGCGCAGCTGTCCGCGCCTCCCCCGCGCCCCGCCGCCCGCATTCCAACTCTCTGAGGTCACGGACCGCCACCGCCTCCCCGGATCCCGCCCGCCGGGGTAAGGGGGAGGGACGCCGGGCCCGGCCGCTCCGCTGCTCCGGCCGCACGTCCCGCGTCCGTCACCCGTCTGTCCGCCCGTCTATCCGTCCGTCCGCCCGCAGGCTTCGTCGTGCGAAGCCCGGTGCAGGTCCGGGTCTGCGGAGTCGCCCAGGGGAATGGTCTGCGGGCCGCGTCCGCGGGGACAGGAAGTGGGGCGCGCGGGCCCCATGCGCGGGCCGGCGTGCGGGCGCGGCTGCGGCGGGCGCGCGGCGGGGCCCGGGGAGGCGGGCCGCTGAGCGCCGCGCGGCCCCGAGTATGCGGGAGCCCGAGCAGGTGAGCGCGGGCCCGGGGCGGGGGGGACACTATCGGGGGATCCCGAGTCCCGCAGCACCCGACGGGGTGCGGGCCCAGCGGGAGCGTAACAAAGGACGAGCCTCCTCCCCGGGGATCGCCACCTCCCAGCTCCCCCGAGGGGGGCGCGGCTTGTCCTGGATCGGGGCTTGAAAGCCGCAGGCACTTTCGTGCTCTCGGGATCTAATCTGAAACCGGAGGTTTGCCAGGGAACGCTGGTCACCGGGAGCCCCAGTGGGGCAGGGCTGCTTGGTAAGCGCAAAGACCAGTTTACTCTGGAAAAAGGATTCCAGGATCTGCAGATGCCGACTGGTGATTTCTGCAAATCCTGGTTAGATTGGCCGCTCCTGGCATGCTCGTCCTGTTTTCTGTTTTGCTGAGGGAGCCTTATGTTAATAGCGCACGCTGGAAAACACTTTCGGGGCATTCGTGGGCTCTAAGTGACAATCGCCGCACGCCTGGACAGGTTTTTATGTTTTTTTTTTTTGGGAGGTAACAGCAATTTTCCTCTGAAAATAATCTGTTTTGTGTTTAGGACAATTTATTATAGAGTTTGTGTACGCATAAATGTTTGTCCGCGAGAAACATAGGTTTGGTTTAATGTAATAGATATTATTCTAAAACTGTCATGTACTCTGCTTTCAGTGATTATTTTATGTTAAAGCAACATTGGCAAAATTACGTGTGGTGAGGACTTTAGCAACGAGGGGAAGAGGGATTAACTCTACAAGATTGAGTTTGACTGTATTTGAAAAACTTAGAAGGGGATGTGGAGAGGAAAAATAAAAATTCACAAATACTGCAGACAGCCTTTTATAAACTTGTGCTAATATGTATCTGTTTTCTTACTCTAAAATAGAATGGTTTGTGGAGAAATCATCTACTAGCCTTCTCTTTTAAAAGCTATTTGTGAATTATGTCCTTTAGTAGATACAGTAGGTAGATTATAATTCCAGACCCAGCTACTTTCAAATTATTGCATATTATTTTGCACCTGAAACAGGGCCTCCCCCAAAAGCATCTCAATATTCTCCTCTTGGTTTTAATTATATTCAAGCAAGCATTCATAACTATGACATCATTTGGTAGGAAATACTGAAAACTAAGATGTGCAAGTCATTGATAAATTTGTAAGTTATTAAGCAGAGCATTATTTATCACAGTAACTTTTATATAATTAAGCAAGAACAAGCCATTTTTATGGATACACACCACACACACACACACACACACACACAACTCTTTCAATAACATTATAACATCTACCAAAATGAAAAAGAGAAAACATTGGCCTTTCCTTATCCTTGATGCTGTAAAACATTTCAAATCTCAGAGACCATTGGAAGTTTTACTTTGAGTTTGCTTAATCAGAGCTTAAGTTAATTATTAAGTCATATAGTGTAGTATCTGTTGTGTTCAAGACATAGTTATATCTTTTAGTGAAGAAACTACCATATTCAAACAGCCTTTAAATCAAACGTTTGTCTTTTCTTTGTGCATATGTTATATCTTGTCTCATCAACGTGACATAATTTGTATATAAGAATGAAATCTACTTTATCTCATGAAAGGGTTTTTAGTATACATGATGTATGTATACAATCTTTTAAATTTTACACAAACACTATAGACTTATCAGGCAGTCTTCTGGTTAAAGGCTTATTATTTAAGGTTCTTTAAGGCTCTCATTTCTCGATTCCCCCCCCCCCCATTTTGCTTCGTCTAGGTATTTGATAATCTTGAACCAGGAAAGAGCATTGAAAACTACTGCAGGTGGAGACTCTTTTTATACTATTTATTTTCTATTTCCCTCAATCACAAAATGCTTTTACTCACTTGACAGTGCTTTTAGGTAGTTCTGGTCCCCTCCCTATCCCTGGCTTTCCCTCTATCCCTTGTTTTTAACTTTTTGCTTTATCCTTCTGGGGAAAACCAGAACTCATAAAATAAACCAAAACCGAAGCACAAGCTAAAAAAACAGAGCTGGCCTGGTCCTTATTAGAGGTACAGCTCTGTATGTAATTATAGCATGCTTGTAATCTCCTTAAGGACAGAGATGGCTTAGGATCCGTCTTGGGTTTCTCAAGATGCTCGTTCCGCTGCCTTGTGCTCAGAGACGCAGTACACATTTGTGGAATGGAATTTCAAAATGCTAAGCATGGCATAAACCCTATTCTCTCGCCCTGCCATTCCCCAGTCCGCATGCCCATCACCTGGGGTGGAGGTGGGAATGGGGATGGGGATCTGATAGGTTCGTTAGGGGAAAAATAACTTCAGTTGTTATAAAAATCCCGAGTTGCCGTTCGCCCCCGGAATGTCTCTGCCCAGAAGTTACCATCGACAGGCGTGGCTTAAAACGTTGTAAGTAGTTAGTGTATGTGCGGGTGCTGTGATTCCAAATCCGACATCAAACCGCGCGCTCTATTCTCCAAGCGCCAGTAGGACTCGAACTGGGCCCTGGCAATGCACTCTCGGGGAAGGGGGTGGTGGTGGGCGGAACGGTCCTACCCGAGCACGTCCGTCCGGAAACAAGGGTGCGGGCGGAGGGTTCCGGAACTTCCGAGACTACGCGTTGACCTGGCAACGCCGCGTGCTTTCCCCTAGGGGAGGCGCCGGAGCCGAGCGCTCCCCTGCCCTGCTGGCTTCCAGGACATGTTTTTCAGAACTGCCATGGTTTTATAACTGGCATTCCTAGGGGCTTTTATGGCTTGTTTATAAATAAATTATTCTGGTGACGTAAATATTTATAAACCAGAAAGGGGTTTAGAAATGCTTGTTAAGCACTTCATGTGCTTTGAACCTCACGGCTGCCCAGTCAGGTTAATTTGCCTAAAGGAACTGGAATTAGAATTTAGCTCTTTTGGAGTGTTTTGCGCTTACCTCACGTACAGAGTTGACATCTGGAGTGTTGGGGAACTCAAAAAGAGTTTACCTGTCAACACTTGATCTAAGATAGGAAGATGACCGCTCATGCTATCTACTAAATTTGGCATTATGATCGTGTCGGGCATTATCTCATTTAATCCTGACCCTAGCCGCGGGCTGTTTCCACTATTTGTAGAGTAGAGTAAGGGGTGGAGTTTGCCCCAGGACCCAGCCTTCAGCCCTGAAGATAAACTCCCGTGCTTTCTAGTATAGAAGCAAGGGTTATTGTTTTAGACTGCAGCTTCTCTGAGTTTTGGGTTTCAAAGCAAATTCCAGAGTTGCCATTGTTCATGCAACTACTTTCCAATTTTTCCTCAGCGCTGGCGTGGATGCCCCTTTCTCTTGGCCTTTTGGAGACTCAGTTGCTTTTTGATGGCTGCAGCGGCTGCGGGGTGAGCAGCTGGAGACTGGACAGCGTTTGCCCCCCCAGCAAAGGGTCGCTTTCCCCCCGCGTCACCATCGCTGGATTGGTGGGGGGCTTTTCCTTCTTGGCCCCTCCACTGTCGAAGGGAGAAGATGCCACTGCCATTTGGATTGAAATTGAAACGCACCCGGCGCTACACGGTGTCCAGCAAGAGCTGCCTGGTGGCGCGGATCCAGCTGCTCAATAACGAGTTCGTGGAGTTCACCCTGTCTGTGGAGAGCACGGGCCAGGAGAGCCTGGAAGCTGTGGCCCAAAGACTGGAGCTGAGGGAGGTAAGCTTAGAAAGAGGCTGCAGATTCCTCTGGCCTGGCTCCACTCCTTTTACCCCAGGCTGCTCTGATGGATGTCTCAGTTGAGCCTGCCAGCCCTCCTCAGGGAGGAAGAGGGGCAGAGCAAAAAGCTTTCCCTTGGGGGCGCCCAATAAAACAATTAACAGTGCCTGTATTTTGAGCGTGTTGAAGCCCCCCCCCACATGAGATTGGGGATACCCCAATATGAATGCATTTTGGGATATCCATTTTCTATTATAACCCCAAGTGGATCATTCTTGATCTCTAGTATAACTCACTGACTTCATTCATTCCTTCAACATTCATGGAGGGTTTTCCACACTGGTAGAGTTTAAATTCTGATTTCCTCACCAACTAGTTGTGTAACCTTGGGCAAGTTGTTGGATGTCTCTGGTACCCCATGTGAACCACAGGGATAACCGTGGTGCCTAATTTTAAAAGTGGTTGTGTGACTTAATGTGCATGTAAAGCCATAGCCCTAATAACTCGTCTGCCATAGTAATTGTAGGAAGTTCTGCCCTGGGAAACCCCTTATCTAGTCCTCAATGTATCCACATAATGTCTTAAATGTAAAATGCTTTACAAAGCTTGTAAAGAAAAGGCTCTAATTAAACCTAGGATCCTCCCTGTGTTTGGTTGTCTGGCTCTGGGTTAAGAGAAAGGAGAAACTGGTTAATCCACTTAAATGCCCATGTTATATTCCCTAGGAGAAATCCCACATTCATATTGTAGTTCATAAAGTCAGGAATAGGGACTGGAGAGTGGCTCAAGTGATAGAGCGACTGCCAGGCAAGTGTGAGGCCCTGAGTTCAAACCCCACTACTGGCAAAAAAAAAAAAAGTCAGGAATAGATAAAATTGACCTCTGGAGAGGTCAGTTGATCGCTCAGTATTGAAGACCTATCAGTGCCAAGGACATAGGTGTAGGAGCTAACCCTAGTGTCAATGGCCTAGACAGATTGCATTGCTTGTGATGGGAAGGAGATAAGAGAGGGGCAGCAAAGGGAATGCTTCCCAAGGAAAGTGCTGTCAGAGCTGTGACCTGAAGGGTGGGATGAGGGGTCCTGTCTGGGGCTGGAAAAGACTTCCAAAAAGGGAACAAAGGGACTTTTGTTAAAGGATTGGGACTTACCCTGCTGATGATGGGGAAGGATTTTTACACTAGGGTGTGGCTTTGGTACTGAGTGAGCCCCTGGAGAATGAATGATTAGAGTTCAAGTGTTGGATGGGGACCAAGTGGGTGGAGTCTGGAGATATCTAGGACCTACTTACCAGGTGTTGGGGAAGAGTTAGGAAGGAAGAGATTTTCAGGAGGTGATGAAGGGCTATAATTAGGGGAGGAAACATGAAAGGAAGAGCAGAGTTAAGTTCAGGAAATAAATACCAAGTTTGAGGTGCCAATTGGTGCGACTTGAAGATGTTGGACAGCCTGATAGATGTGCCCTTCTGTAGCTGAGGCAGGAGATCCAGGCTGAAGTTCTTTAAGAGACCTGGGAATCATCAGCCTAGCTGAGCTGACCAAAGGGGCGAAAAAAGAGGACTAGCAGCCCTCTTGGGGTTGAGCAGAGGAGGGAGAGCCTTGGAAAGAAGCTGATGTGTCAGGCCCAAGAAGGAAAAACAGTAAACTGGGATGGAGAATGGCCTCAGAGATTGGTTCTGCTTGTTTGCACTTTCTTTGGCTTCCTTCACCTGTCTCTCCTTTTTTCCTATCATGGTTTCTTTTTCCTGTTAATTTCATCCAAATGTACCAAGTCTGCTACAGGCCCTAAGGAGTTGGCGTCTTTTTTTATTTTATTTTTTTGTACTGGGGCTTGAACTCAGGGCCTTCACTTTGAGCCACTCCACCAGTCCTTTTTTTAATGAAGGATTTTTCTAGATAGGGTCTCACGGAACTTTTTTGCCCAGGCTGGCTTCGAACTGCAATCCTCCTGATCTCTGCCTCCTGAGTAGCTAGGGTTACAGGCCTGAACCACCAGTGCCCAGTCAAGGAGTTGGCTTCTTAAGGAGCTATAGTGTATTTATTTTTTGCATTCAGAAAATAATTTAAATATTGGTTTTTCCTGTGCCAGTGGCTTAGGCTTGTAATCCTAGCTACTCAGGAGGTAAACATCAGGAGGATTGGGGTTTGAAGCCAGCAGGGGAAATAGTTCCGAGATACCCCATTTTGAACAAACCAGACAAAAAAAAGGGTGGAGTGGCTCAAGGTGAAGGCCCTGAGTTCAAGCCCCAGTATTGCAAAACAAAAAACAAAAACCAAAAAAAACAGGAACAAGCTGTTTCATATAGCTGTGGGCATACTATGAGCCTATTTTTGTTTGTTTGTTTGTTTTTGAGATAGTTTTGCTATGTAGCCCAGGCTGGCCTTGAACTCATGATCCTCTTGCCTCAATCTCCTGAGTGCTAGAATTACAGAGTGCTGGGATTACAGGGAGTGTTGGAATTACAGGTTTGACCCTTTGTTATTATTTGTGACTGCTGTGTCCACATTGTGCTGACTGACCAAATTCTCTTCTCTTTTCTTATGTTTATAAATATTGTTTTTTCCATTAACTGAGAGAATGCATGCTTGTTTACAGAACCACCTCAGAGTAGGTAATCATACTTCCTACACATTACTAAACTTAAAACACTAGCAAGATGTTATAATTTAGTGATCATATTTGTGATCTTTTTTTTTTTTTGATAGCACCGGGGCTTGAACTCATGGGCTTGTGTTTGCTTGGCCAGCACTTTTACTGCTTGAGCCACTCCACCAGCCCTTAGTGATCATATTTGAACCACTATTTCCACGTGAGCTAAAAACATTAATTTGTATCATGTCACTGCCCATTGTTGTCACAAACAGAACTTTAGTAAGGTTTAAGTTGCTGTTAGCCTGCTTTCTTCCATAAAGGCTCAACCCAAATCCTAGGAATAAAATACCAAAAAATTTTGGAGTAGGTTTATATATTTTTCTTTAAGGTATCACCATTTTGAAAAATTCTTGTTCAATAAGACTATAATCACATTTTTATCATGCCATCATGGATTTTTGATTTATCACAAATTTCTTTTTTTTTCTTTTTGTGGTACTGAGGTTTGAACTCAGGACCTACACCTTGAGTCACTCTACCAGCCTTTTATGTGATGGGTTTTTTTCAAGATAGGGTCTCTTAAACTAAAGCAGATACCTTAAAGCAACTGAGGCCAATAGGAAAAGGGGAACAAGTACTAGAGAAAAGGTTAGATTAAAAAAATTAACCTAGAAGGTAACACCCACGCACAGGAAATCAATGTGAGTCAATGCCCTGCATAGCTATCCTTATCTCAACCTTGTTCCTTCCTATTATTGCTTATACTCTCTCTACAACAAAATTAAAAATAAGGGCAAAATAGTTTCTGCTGGGTATTGAGGCGGGGGGAGAGGGAGGGGGCGGAGTGGGTGGTAAGGGAGGGGGGTGGGGGCAGGGGGGAGAAATGAACCAAGCCTTGTATGCACATATGAATAATAAAAGAAAAATGAAAAAAAAAAAAAAGATAGGGTCTCTTGAGCTATTCACCCAGGCTGGCTTTGAACCTCTTGATCCTCCTGATCTCTGCCTCCTGAGTAGCTAAGATTCCAGGCATAAGCCATTGTCTCCCAGCACAAATTTATTTCTTACATACCCTGAGTTCCTTGAATTTAAGTTCCTTATTTATCCTGTATTTGCATTTGGTTTCAGTTTTTGAATCCTCAGGATAGAGGGAAGTTCTGAAACCACAGGAGTCCTTTTCAAGATCATTTTTTTGGGGGCCTTTATAACCTAAATCTTAGAGGGTAATTTTTTTCAACTATTTCTGAGGGTGTGCATATTTGCAGGGGGGAACCCTCATTGTTGTTTCCATATATGGCCTATATAGGTAAATATAACTTTGATATTGAGTTAAATACTAAGCTACCCCTAGAATTAACTTCAAAGTATTTTGTTGAAGAAGGTGGATAGTGTGTCAAAATTTATACGTTCTGTATGGCCCTTTCATGTCTTAGTTATAGGGTTTAGATATTTGGCTATACTGTTGTGGTATTATAGAATTCAATGTATGTTTGTCTTTTTTTTTTTCTGGAGGTGCTGAGGTTTGAACTCAGGGTCTCAGCTTGCTAGGCAGATGCTCTTACCCCTTGAGCCACTCCACCAGCCCTTTTTGTGCTGGGTATTTTTGAGATAGGGTGTCTGGAACTATCTGCCTGGGCTGGCCTTGAACCATGATCCTCCTGATTTCTGCCTCCTGAATAGCTAGGATTACAAGTGTGAGCCACTGGTGCCCAGCTTCAATGTGTTTTAGATTGTATTTGTGGTGCATCACCCACATCCAGGTCTTGTTCTTTAGCATGTAAACTCTGCTGGAGTAGAACCATTCAGTGGTTTATGGTGTCTGTACCAGTGCTTTGTACCTTATAACACGTAGATGTTGAATAAGTGTCTACTTATTTTTAAAAACTCAAGATTCTTGATTTGCATTTAGAGTGATAAGCATGGACTATGGTTCTGTTTTGTCAGCCTTTATTTACCTTATAATTTTGTTTCCTGGAGAGAGTTGAATAGTCCCCAAACCTTATACACTGTTACAAATCTCCCCGTTCCTGGGTCTCCAATATGTAGCCCAGGCTTACCTCAAACTTGAGATCCTCCTGCCTCAAACTCAGGTAGCTGGTGGTGTAGGCATGTGACACCACACCCACCTTTTTTAGACTGTTTCTCCTTTTTTTTTTTGTGGTGCTGGGGATCAAACTCAGGGCCTACACCTTGAGCCACTCTGACAGCCCTTTTTTGTGATGGGCTTTTTTTTTTCCAGATAGAGTCTCACAAACTATTTGCCTGGGATGGCTTCGAACTGTGATCCTTCTGATCTTTGCCTCCTGGATAGCTAGGATTACAGATATGCACCACCGGCGCCCAGCTTCTTTAGACTTTTCTTTTTCTCCTCAAGGTTTCTTCTGAAACACTTAGAAGGTGGTCTATTTCT